GAAGGGTGAGCTGAGATGGAAAGCAAGAAGTTAAAGAAAAGGGAAAAAACAAATAACACAGACTGGAGAGAAAACAGAACAAGGTATCAGACAAGAAGTTTCAAAGGTATAAACAGGGAGTGTTAGTGTACTAATCGACAGTAAGCTGAACAGACATTAGAGAGACAGAGAGAGGATTGAAAATCAAAATAAAAAATAATAAGAATAAAATAAAAAATAAGTAAATGAAAAAATCTATTATAAAATGTATAAAATAAAATGAAAAATAGAAAATTAAAAAAAAAAAAAAAACTCCAAGTTCAAATGCAATGAAGTTTCAGTCTTAATAATTTGGTGTCCGTCTCAGTCTCCAGTCCTGGAGATGGTGCCTCAGATGTTGTTCTGTAGTTGTCTCATCAAAGGGATGAATAAGAAAACAAAACTAACACACACCAACAAAAAAAAACCCCACCAAGTGTCCCAAGTTCAAATGCAATACAGTTTCAGTAAGTTTTTCAGCTTGCAGGTGTAATTCGGTTGTTCTCTCATCAAAGGTAGGGAGAAGAAAAAAAAAAAAGAGTCTGGAGACAGTCTGAGATGGTATCTGCAACTGTGGCTGCTGCCTGCTGCTGTCAGCCTGCTGTTGTTGGAGGCATTATTTATGCAGATCTCAGGGTAAGCTTAGCACTCACCTGGCCCTGCAGGCTTTGTTTTGCTCAGATTCTCCTGTGCATGAGCTCTGCTACAGCTTTCCCTTTCCAAGCACTGGGAAAGGTGACACTGCATCTGTGTTCTCAGGCCTGTGTGTTATTTACAGTTCATGTGGGAAGTGGGTCTTCCCCCCTCTCCTGTGAGTTCTCCTCCACCTCCACTTTCACAAGCTTTCCCGCTCCTGGTTTGCTGGGTCGCACGCCCCCCGCTCCCCCAGGCTCTCCGGTCTGCCAGCTTGTTTATTTACAGTTCCTGGAAGGGTTCCCTTCCCCCAATCTTTTGGCGCTCAGTGCGCCCCACCCCTCTTTCCCACATGTCTTTTATTGTTCTTATTGCTTATTAGTCAGTTTCTCTTTTTTCCCCTGGTGGAGGTCAGTCTGTCCCAGGGGGCTAGCTGTCTGGCCCAGGGTTGTCTGTGGGAGTAACTGTGGTACCGTGAGCTCACCTTGTCTGCGTCTTCCCAAGCCATCTGGGCGCGGGTGACTGGCGGCCCAGGGCCCTCCTTGTTCTCTCCATTTAACATGAAGTGGAGATTTCTCTGCACCGCCTGGAGGTGTGGAGGAGTCAAAGTTTTGCCTCTTCTCGGTGATTTTGCCTGCAAAGTGTGTCTCCAGCATCTCCAAGATTTCACTATAGGAGGCTTGCTTTCTGCTTCCTCCCTCTAGCCGCACTTGGAATCCTCTATATATTCTTTAATAGTATATCATAAATTTAGAGAAACAAACAACAAACACAATGAAGGATAGACTTAGAGAGGCAGCCAAAGACAACTAAGAGCCAACAAGTACTTTTAGTTGTTTTTGATAGTAGCCAGGTGGAGGAAGTTCCTGAAATTCTGCCTGTGTGATGCTTAATTATTACTTTCGTTCCTTCTCTCTCTCTAATGCTGCTTCTGTGCTATAACAACCTGTTGCAACATGTTCAGTATAGATGGCTGCAGAGAGGGGACTCTTGAGCATTCGTTGTGGCTGATAAGGCTGCCAGAAAGGGATTACCCTGAAACTTGGACAAAAGCATGGCCTAAGTTATATTTCTGAGTTTGGGAAGTTGATTTTTCCTCCATCAGTGGTTGGTTTGTAGTGCCGGGCTCTATGATAAAAGTAGAATAGACATTAGGAGAGAAGTGGCTAAGAGTGGGCCAGAGCTAGGCTGCTTGAGCTCAATCTCACTCCTGCTACTTTGGATGAAAACTTGGGATGTTACTGAACTTTCCCCATGACTATCTCCTGACCTGTTAAATGGGGATAATAATAGAAAGTTACCTCATGAGTTACTATGAGGAAGAAATGAGTATACTCATATCAAGTGTTTAAAGCAGTATCTTCCATATAACTATTTGACTATGAGAATGGTGGCCATTGTTCAGTCATTTCTGTTGGCTATTAATTAGTTATGCACAGTTTCATTCAATAAGAAAATATGTGAGACTGCTATGCCTGATACTGTGCTCTGCCCTGGGGTTTGGTGGAAAAAATATGGTTGGAGAGAAAGGGACTAAACAAAAACATACAAACAATTATTTGTGGAACATGGGACATGCAAGGTAAGTAGCATTCTTAATGAGAAATAGGGGGTATAGATGCTAAACTCATCATCACTATCCCCACCATCACCATTATCACCACTATCATCACTGTCCTCACCATCATTTCCATCGCCATCATCACCATCACTATCACCACCATTATCACCATCCCTGCATCATCTCCACCACCACCATCATCACTGTCCCACAAACATCATCACCTTCTTTCACCATTCCCAATGTGCCAAGCACTTTGCTAAGTACTAAACATGGTTTATCTCATTTAATCCTAATAATCCTATGAAGAAGGAGTGTTCTTATTCTTTTTATTGTAGCATATTTGAACTGAAAGACAAAGCAATGATCTCATCTGGTCATCCTCCATTTATAGATGAGGAAATTATTCCTAGAGTGGACAGTGACTTGTTTAGAGTCTATCCCTATAGAGTTGGGAATAAATTCCAGGATTCTGACTCTGGCCTGTATCCACTTAGCTACCCTTCTGTGGCCTCCCTGGAAAGTGGAGACCATCTGTGTCCTATCACCCTTCCATCTCCAGAACGTCTCCTAAACCTTAAGGTTATTCTTGCAGAGGTCTACTTGCTTTCTCAGGACAGAAGCTGCTTCCTTCCCTCTCTTTTTTCCCTTCTCTTTGCTCTTGTTTCTAGGTCTGGCTATCCTCTTGAATAGGGAATATGGATGCTTGAGTTGCTAGAATGTCACAAAATGACAGTGACTCAAATTCCTGGCTCCTTGCCTATACCCTCCTCAAATTTGAAAGAGTGTTTCCTAGGCTTTTTTTTTTTTTTTGCTTCTGTATGTTTCGTAGTTGTAGATGAGTCATATTTTAAACAAAACTCAGATTTGTAGCAATGGATTCATGTCAGCCAAATGAGTATATGATTATTTTACCCACTCTGTGAGGCTTAAGAATCTTGCTGTTGACCAGATGAATTAGGGAGCTTGTCAGGGTTTTAAATGATGGCTCCTTGACTCAGTGTTATGCTCCAGGATATTTGCACTTTCATTCCAGAATGCTGTACTCTGCCCCTTTAGGTATTCAGCAGGTCTTAGCTTGTATCTACCATCTCTATTTGAAGCATTTCCTGAGACCCCTATCTAAAGAATCTTTGTGCCTATACTCTATTTTTAATTTCCTTTGTAGTACTTGGCAGCAGTCTGTAATTGTGGTGCTCATTTGTTTACTGGCTAATTGTGTTTCTCTTTCTACTAGAACATTCCCATTATAAGGACCACAACTGTCTTGTATTTCATAGCCTGAAGTAGAGCTAACCCAGAGTGGTTGCTCATTATAAATTAGTTAAATTAATAAAGATATGTCTCTGAGTTTTCTTATTTAGCTAGAATGTTTTTTTGCTTTTATAGGTCTTAGAGTTGCACAAAAATAGGCCCTATAGGCTCCATATGAGTCAAAAGTAGGAATGATGCACAGAGTTAGTGAATTTGGATGTGTTTATTGGACTAATGCCAGCCTTCTTCCAGGCCCTTGGCCTGCTATCTCACTGGAATGTAGAGGGAAAGGAGATGCCATGACCATGTCTCCAGGGCGGTGGAGAATGTGGGCACTGGAGGCAGATGGTTCTGGGCTCAAATTTCCATTCTGTCATTCTGTGACATTTTGCAAGTTAACCTGCTCCAAGTTTGTTACCTGTAAATGGGGAATAAGAATAGAATATCAGTGACTCAAGAACTTGGTGGGGAAAATAATATGATAATAAAAAATTTACAAGAGGACTTGGGGCAACAGATTAATATGTATATTATAATTTTTTCATTTTGAAAGCAATAATTTAACCTAATAAGAATTTCTCAAAGGAGAAAAAAATTTCTCAGAATCCCGTTTCTTTAACTCAAGTATTTTCATTTATGTTTATATTGGGCTCTTTTTTGGCTGTACATAGATACCCTAAATATGCTGCATCAAATTTGCATCATGCTAATAATGCTTTTCATTGTATCATGATCCATTGAATAGTTTTCTGTCTGACTAGTTATATTTATTGGATGTCCATGCTTTAATCATCATAAACCCTATCCTTGGGCAGTGATGTTGCTTTTGTTTTTGTTGTTTTTCTTTTGCTATTATCCATGGTGCCATCATGAACACAGTTGTGAAGATTCCATCTTTGTTTTTAATCATTGCTCATTGTAGAAACTTTTCTCTGTGGTATTACAGCGTCAAGAGGTAATTAGGTTTCTATATGTGGGGGTACTATTTGAACACTGTTAAGGCTGCCTCTAGTCTATATAGACTTGTTCCACTCAAGGTAAATCTTCCTTTCTGGGCATTAACTTCATAGGTAATCCCTCTTTACTTTCTCTGGCTTTGAACACCTGTGTGAGTTAGAAACTAGAAATTTAGGTCTCACAACTGGAGTTAATTTTGCTTTTCTTTTGTGGTGCTAGGGATGGAACCCAGGGCCTTTTAATGCTAAGCAAGCACCCTACCACTGAGCCACACTTGCAGGTTCCCCTCCCCAACTGAAGTTCGTAGAATGTGGAGTCCTGACTTTGCTGCTAGGAAATACTAGTATTTACCTTGTTCCTGAGATTGTGCTGACGCCTCTGTGAGAGACCGATTCTTAAATCCTATAGGGTGTGACTAGGTGGCCACCAGCTGAATGGGGATTTTGTAAGGAACAGAAGCCTGTCCTTATGTGCCGAGAGCATGATGTGGCTGTAAAAAGGAGCAGAGAGGTCTTGAAACACTGAGCAGCCCTATTCCTGCAACCTGTTACTCTTCTGTTTTTTTTTTTTTTACTAGGAAGCCAAAAAGAAGTATGATAAAGAGACAGAAAAGTACTGTGGCATCTTAGAAAAACACTTGAATTTATCTTCCAAAAAGAAGGAATCTCAGCTCCAGGAGGTAAGAAATGTGACAAGTCTCCTAAACAAAGCATTCATTTTCTACATGGTACTGTGGATATATGCTGGTCTCTCTGTGTCTAAGAATGTCAGAGTTGGAAGAGACCTTGGAAACAGAGCTTGATCCTGATGCCTCATACATTGCCTAATGTGTGCATTGCCTTTGAATCCTACCATCCCACCCACGCTTTGTGGGTCTGCAGCCTTCCAGTGGCACAGGAGCACACTGCCAGTCAGGGCTATCACTGCCTGTGTAGATGGTGCTCATTTGCTACACGATGCCTCTTCATTTCAAGCTAAAATTTGCCTTCCTATTTCCTACCCTTGGCCTCCATGCTGTACTCTGTTATCTTAATTCTAGAATTTCTACTTTGTAACAGTGTCTGCATCTGAAACACATTACTCATTCTTCCTTAATATTAATTTTTGGATTATTTCAATCTAGTACTTGACATTAGTGTTTTCCTTTCTTTCTTTTTTTTTTAAATGTGTCTTATCACCTACACCTATTTTGAGCTTTAGTAATCTTGTTTTAAGAAAATATTCTTAGCCAGGCATGGTAGTGCATGCCTTTAATTTTAGCACTCAGGAAGCAAGGAAGGAGGATACAAGTTTGAGGCCAACATAGCATTGCTACATATCAAGACCCTGCCTTAAAAAACCAAAGGCTGGGGATGTAGCTTAGTGGTAGAGCACTTGTTCAGCATATGCAAGGCCTTGGGTTTGATCCCTTGTACAAAACAAACAAACAAAAAAATCCCCAACTTTGACCTGCTCCTGGATCTTCTGGATTTGCCTGGAGTAAAGGAAGACTTTTTAAAAGTAGCTCACTTAGAAAGAAAACTCAGCTTTGCACCATTGAAGCTGCCACCATTTTTACTTAGTTCATGGAGCTTTGCTTGGCAAGTAGTGTATGTTTCTGGGAGGCAGTTCCTAATGGAACCTCAAATTTGACTTCGTGAATGGCATTTCATTTAAACTCTTCATAATTTGCTTGATCTTTCTCATGAGATCTGCTAAAGAAGTTTTGCTTTTCAGGCTAGCCCTCATTCTGAAACTGTGTTTCTGTTTGAGCAGATGCCATGTCAATACTTATATCAGGTGAAGGTTGTATGAAGATGGTAGGGCCACAGGTTGAAAGAAGGAGGCAACCCAGGAGATGTTAAAGTCCAGGACCCTCCCAACTGTGTTTTTTTGCATATGTTCCGATAGGCATGAGGCATTCTCAGAAATCTTTTCTTTGAAAAGTGCATTTTAGCCAATTCTTTAGGGCTGGGGAGATAGCGTGGTGCCGAGTGCTTGCCTAGCATGCATGAGGCTCTGGGTTTGATCTCCAGCATCACAAAAAAACCCTGCCAAAATCTACTTTGAGTGGCTATCACCAGCTCAACATAAAGATATGGGCACTAGAAGATGCCAAAGCCCACATGTATTGGTCCTGATAAGTGTGTAATTCCATTTAGGATCTGTTCTGATAACCCCAGTGTCTTTTTTGGCCATAGCTGACAGTAACCAGATCTGTCCAGCTCTGCAGTTTCCTCATGGTGATATACCTTGGTTAGGATGACCATGTATCATTGGTCAGGTGTTCAGAGCTGAGCAGTTGTGTGTATGTGCTAGCACATGCCCATTTGGGAGCCCACAGCATAGTTGTCTTGCAGGCAGGTGTTCCCCAGGGTGAGGGTGCTTCTTCAGGTCCATTCTCTCCAGTCAGATATTGCTGACTTGGTCTGGGATGAACCCAGCATTTCTTTTGAGACCATTCCAGTGCCATCTCCCTGTGAGGTACCATCGTGGAAGAGGGCACCTTGCTTCTAACCCATGTATTCACTGTAAGACCTGGGGCAAGATATGTAGGCTCTCTGAGCTTTAAGTTCCTTTATTTGTAAAATAGTCATAAAATACCGGTGCTAACTACTTCATGAATCAGAAGGCAAACTGCAGCTGCTGCACAAATGCAGTACCCCCATGACTAGCCTGCTTCTCTCCATCCCCTGTATCCACACTGGACAGCGCTGTTCCTGACTTTGCCAGTTTTATGTCTCTGGAAATTTTTCTTTATGCTCTTTTGTTAGCCTTTTGTGTTTCTGTCTTACTTATTCATCTATTCTAATTACTTTGAGGATAGATTGGCCATGGGTGTTCTTTTTGCAAGTTCTGGTCCTTATGGGTCAGTTCTCACGCACTGATTTTCAGTTATACATGACTGAATTATTGGCAATAAAGCTCTAACAACAGCAGCAACATGCTATGACTACTACTGCTACCAACAATACCAGCAAGACTGTTGAGTGCATGTATGCCCAGGTGTTGTGTTAAGCACTTCTCATGGAACCTCCTAGAATCCTCACAGCCTATGAGCTACAGCCTATGAGCTATGGATGTATTACCTCCATTTTACATATGGGGAAACTGAGGCTCAGAGATGTTCAATAGTGCACCAGTAGCTAGCTAAGCTGGCACCTGGCTAGGGAGTCCTTTCTCCTGGCCCAGTTTATTTGTCTAGGAAGGATCGTGAGGCTCTGATCCCTGCCAGTCATTCTTATTCTGCACTACTGCCATGCAATAGAACTGGAGACAAGAGGGACTGTGGTGATTACCCACTGGAACCTTCTTAAATTATATTTGAAGGATCTGAGCTCCTTATAGAGGTCAAATGATTTGCTCCAGGTATTTAGTGATGATTTTCCTTACATTTATTAAAAAATCAACTTTTATTAAGCACCTGACACATCTTTGATGAAAGTTGCTACCTTTGATTATCCAGAATTGTTCCCTGATTGCAGAGCTTTGAACTGAGTGCTTTTCAATTTGAGCACATACCTAAATCATCTATAATCCCTGGAAATTATAGAGAAGCAGTGTGGCATGACACTGCCATCTAGTGGATGATCAAAAAAATCAGTGTGTTCTTCAGTGGCTAAGAAGTTTGCATCCAAAACAATATTTGTTCATCCAACCAATCTACATTGAATACTTCTTTGAAAGTCTGTTCAGGATCTGGGTGCTTTGTAGGAGAGTGAAATTAGAATCTACGTGCATGGAATTTATAGTTTTTGGAGAATGTCTTTTTTTCCAAGAAGCACAGAACGGTTGATAGATCTAGTCAAGTTGGAAGGGTTAGGGTGTTGAGTGGTGTGTTAGTCAGTTTTCTGTTGCTATAACAAAATACTTGTGATTAAGTATTTATAAAGAAAAGAGGTTTATTGAGCTTATGGTGTTGGAGGCTAGGAGCTCCATCTCTGGTGCATTTGTGCAAGAAGAACACATGGAAAGATAAGAAGCCAGAGAGAGCAGGACAGGGGCCAGTCTGTTTTTTTCATAACAACTTCCTCAAAAGAATCAACGAGGGTGTCATGAAAACCACTCAGTCCCTTCTGCAGGCAGTGTCCCCATTGAGCTCTCATTTGGCTTATATTTCTTAAAGGTTCTACACCACCTCCCAACACTTTCGCACTGAGTACCAAGTTCCCAACACATGAACTTTGGGGTCACACTCAATCCATATCCAAAACATAACTAGTGATCCACTGAGTGTTTGGGATCTGGTTATGACTCCACTGCATAAATTCTTAGGATATGTTAAATTCTGTGGCCCAGAGTAAGCAGGGTCATGAAAAGAGAAATGTACCATTCCGCTTGGGATTTATCTTTTCTTCTCCTTGGAGATGTGTTATGCATTTCTTTTTAGTGCTGGGTCACTACAGGGACATGCCTGTGATGCAGACTGATGACCAAATGGAGATCAGTTCATTCATTCTGTAAACATCGACTGAACACTTACTATGGGCCAGGCGCTGCGCTAGGCACTGGGATAGCAAAGTGGAAAAATTAGACAACATTCCTGTTCTCAGAGACTTTACACCCGTGTAGTTAATGCATAAGCAGAGGAGTGAGTAAATTGGAACTTCTCACAGTGATAATGAAATCCACTGGGAGGTAAGCTAGAGACTCTGGGATAACTTGTTTAAGATAATGTGACTAATGAACGCTTCTCTGAAGAGGAGGGAATGATGAGAAGGAGCAAGCCCAATGAGTGAAAGGCTGGGGCAGTCTTCTTCAAGTTGTGGCTGCGTCCAAAAATCAGAATTATTGGGTCAATGACATAGTGTAGAACAGGCTGGAATAAAAATATGAAAGTACATCATACTTAATTTAATGTGTGTTTATTGGGTCATGATGTAAAAAGTATTTCTTACCATGCTCTGAAGAAAAAATGTAAATATATTTAGGGGGGAGGTTTTTAGGCCGAAACAGCACCAAGTGCTAGGTTGTGGGCAAGAAAGAGGTTTGGAGTGTCAGAGAGCAGGAAGAGACCAGGTGCAGGACCATAGTAAGCTAGGCTAGGACAGGAAGATGTGAGGTAGGGAAGGGTGGGCAGATCACATGACACAGGGGCTTGTGGGCAGTGATAGAGGCCAGGGAAAGGCCTTGAAGGAGCTGACAGCCCATCTGACTTACATTCTAAGTAAGATCTGGCCGTGGGGTGGAGAATGGGCCAGAGAGGCAGGCAGGGAGAACAGTTAGAAGAGAGTACAGTGACCAAGGATGTATAGGGCAGTGCTGGCCTAGGATAGGAGCAGGGACTGTAGCCTTCTGCACTGAAGAATCCAGCCTGCTCATGCACACACACAGCACTTTCCTGTTTTCAAGGTGTTTATACCTTTTAGCTCATTTTCTCTTTGAACAAGTTCCCCCAAGAAGCAAGGGTTCCTGTGACTAACTCCATCCTCTAGAAGAGCAGGACTGGAGCACTGATCAGCCAGAAAACCCTAGAACTGGAGCTTTCACCCAGGTCAGCTTTGACAGATGCTGGAATTGGTTCTTATTCCTCAGAGGAATTTCCTTTGGCTCTTCCATTGCTGCCTAAATGGCTAGAGGCATCAGATTCAGAATGGCCCCCCTCTCCCGACTTCTTGCTTGCAGTCTCAGTTGGCAAACTCAGGAGGAGGTGTGCTGTATGTGTGTGTGTGTGTGTGTGCTGGGGGAGGAGAATATGTCTCTCTCAGGATAAATGTGTTGGATTTACACTCCAAAGATAGCAAAGGTTGCTGGGAGGTAGAGTGTTGGGCTGGCAGGAGCCCAGGTAGAAGGAAGGTTGGTCAGTCTAGTCATCTAAGCAGCCACACCTGGTGGCATGGGGTACAGGGCCTTCTGAAACCCTGCTTCCTAGAGTGGAAGCTTTAGAGAATGCCCTTCCATTTATATAGCATTTGCTTAGAAGACCAGCCTCTATATATTAGTATGTGAGTTGTCCTGGGAAAAAGTTAGGAGTGTGAAACACTGTAATGAACACTTCTGGGTTGTTTCTTGGGTTTTTCAGAACTCGAATTTTTTTTCTTTGTTTATATGTTGATTTGATTGGTCATTTGACTTGAGTTAGTGCTCAGTTTTTCTTCACTGTGCTATAAGCTCCATGAGAGAAGGCTTTTGCTTATGGTAGGTGGATGAACAAATGATGTGGTTCACAGTAGTGTACTGTATTGGGAATAATGGAAGTAAGGGTTTCTTCTGCAGGAATCTTAACAAAGGAATAATGAAAAAAAATTCTTTTGGGTGTTCTATATGAAAGAACTGTTTCTGACTCATTTCTAAGGAAAATAATGTCTTGTTTCCTACTAGCAGTGTATACATTTGTGTTGAGAATGGATTCACTTTAGTGTCATCATTAAAATGTACTTTCAGTGTAACTACTTGCTTTGAGAGAATCAATTGTTCTGGAGGTGTGACTCAAGCAGTAGAGTGCCTCCCTAGCAAGCACTAAGGTACTGAGTTCAAACCCCAGTACAACCCTCCCCTACCCCCAAAAAGAAAAGACACAGTGGACATAGCCACATTTTAGAAAGGTTAAGAGTTTCCTAGTGAGAGCTGGTATCTTTAGCATGACATCTTGCTATTCCAGGCATGCTTGTTTTCTCCTCTGGGTTCTAGATCCTGGATCCATGATTTAATGGTACTGCCTGTGGGCCTGTCCTGGATACCAGTGACACCAAAGAGAAGTGAGAGTAAAGAGCAATGTGATTAACTGCCTCTTAGGGGAAAAAGTGTATCATTGTCACAGAGTATTTGGAACTTAAATCAAAATGTCCTGCTTGGGGGTTCCCTGCCCTCAACAGCTTGTTTGTGCATTTGGAAGGGCAGAATGAGGACGGTTCTACAGGTTTTCTTTTTCACTCTAAAACTCTGCCTGTCATGGGGAGCTCAGGTCTAAGCTGGGATGCAGGAAGGCAATAGAGTTTTGTAGTTTAAGAACCATCATGGATCTTGGAGGCAGATCCACCAGGATGGAAATCCCACCTCTGCTCTGTACTAGCCTTATCACCTTAGGTTAATGTTAGTGGACTTTTATTTTCCTGCTGCAAACTACAAATAAGGATAATATTTTCTTCATAGGAATTTAATAGAAATTATATACTTAAAATTAATGAGGATTAAATAAAATGTATATGCAACAATGGACATAGTGTTTGGCACAAAGTTAGTGTTCAGCTAACTGCTATCAGTATTCTTATTTATCGTGCTATTTGATTTGTTTTAAAAAATTTTCTCCATAGATTTTTGTTTTGTTTTTGCTCAGTGTTCTCCTGCATAATGACTTTTTTTTCTTTTCAATTCCATCTTATTTGTAGGCAGACAGCCAAGTAGACCTGGTCCGGCAGCATTTCTATGAAGTATCCCTGGAGTATGTCTTTAAAGTGCAGGAAGTCCAAGAGAGAAAGATGTTTGAGTTTGTGGAGCCTGTAAGTAGATGTTCAGGGGTTGATGATGTACCTGTACTTTGATCCCTGCCTTTCATTCCAGCTACCTGGTGGATTACAAAATGCTCTGAGTTATTGATGCCAGCCTTGGTACTATGCCTTCTGCTAAGATCCAGTGTGTTGTCAGTCTGGCTCCCCCTGGATTCTTCCTGGCAGCTGTTCCTGGACATCCTCAATGATGGAGAAAGAGCAGTGCTCCTTCAAGAACAGTTCCTTCCTCTTACTACCTGGTGCTGTGCTATGTGGTCTCCAGGTGGAAGAAGCCCAAATGGGGGCTAGAAGGGGGCAGTTCTCACCTTGTTAGGAAATAGTGATTTTGACTTAATTTTCCTGCTTTTCACACCCTTCCTCTCAAATAATTCAACATAGAAGTAACCCTAGGAAATAGCAGGGTGTATACAGTACCTTTCTCTTTTTATCTCTAGGTTCAGGTTCCCTCCTACCCCATTCAGGTATCAAAAGAGGATATATAAAACCGTTTCTCAAGGTGGATTTGTTATAACTAGAGCTTCACAGAGATTATGCTGAGAGGACCATGATGGAATTTGGACTTGGGCATGAAAGACTGCATTGTGGAAAAACGTCAGACCATATTTTAGTCCATACCAGTATGGTTGTGGTTTCCTTCAGGTATGGCACTGCTTTACCTCTTGTGGCACTGTTGTTCAGAATCCACAACAGGAAGACTTCATGAAAACACCAGAATAACATAGGCCTCAGTTTAGAACTCTTCCAACCTTTGATTTTTTAGCCAAAATGTAGTCTCTGATTTAGACTCAAGCCTGGGGTCTCTGTACACATAAAATCTGACCTTATTAGATTTAAGAAAGGGTAATTTTCTTAAGCAAGAAACAAAAAAATTATAAGAAACTGAAAGAAAATGATCACTTAAAAAATAAAGTGTGTTCTACGTCCCATTTCTAATTGATAAACGAGTGGGATTTTTTTTTAGCCAAGTAGTTTCATCAAGACTCCAATTAGGTTTGGAGTCTTTGTGTCTGTCTTCTCCTGTGCTGGAACTGTGATCTTGGGATTCTATTCCTAGCCATTTCATTTAAGACAGATTCCTTAAATTCCTTAATCCTCTCAGTCTTTTTACCTGAATATTAGAGTCCAGTGATGGGTATTGTTCAAGGTCTCAGGTAACAGTCCCATCCTTCTGTGGATCTGTGGGAAGTGAGTAGCACACCAGAGGAAGCAGCCTCATCATTTCCTGCTGAGGGCCCAGAAGTGTTAAAGCTAGCCTCCCATCACAGGTTTGCTCAGGACTCCTTTACTGTGGTCAGGGTGAGAATTTAAATGCTGTCATCTGGAACTAGCCTTTTGCATGATTTTTTATTTGCTTTTAGTAGAATTTCTGGACAAAAAGGACAGTGCAGTTCTAATAACTTTTATTTATCCATTGATTAATATTACTCTATAATTTTTTTTTTGGCAATGCTGGGGTTTGAACTCAGGGCCTCATGTTTGCTAGGCAGGTGCTCTACCACTTGAGCCACTCCGTCAACCCTGTAATTGCTTGCTTTTGATGAGTTTTATTCTAATTGACCCATTTGACTTTTAAGGTGAGTTTTTTGTTATTCACTTTGATCTCTTAGTAGGTGTACCTAGCAAATCAGATATTATATTTGTTAGCTTTTGCTGAGTGACAGCCATAAACCTCAGACATAATAGACATTTATTTCTCATGCATCTTCATGTAATCTGTTCTGGGCTTAGCTGGATGGCTTTGCTCATCTGACTGGGTTTTCCTCCTCTCTTCTCCTTTCCTGCTTTTCTTTGTCCTTCCCCTTTTTCTTTTTTAAAAATTTAAAGAAACCTACAAAGATTTGCCATTCCATTTCCTGGCATTTTCTTGTAGTATGTCAGTGGAGTTTTCCCTCTCAGAGGCATTAGCATGATGGTTAATGGTGCTGCCTGAAATTCCAGCCTCACCATTTACTAGCTTTGTATTTGGGCAAAGTTCTCTGTGTCTTACTTTCCTCATCTACAAAATGGAGATAATAATACCACCTACTTTATTTTTTTTAATTTATTTTTTTCTTTTATTATTCATATGTGCATACAAGGCTTGGTTCATTTCTCCCCCCTGCCCCCACCCCCTCCCTTACCACCCACTCCGCCCCCTCCCGCTCCCCCCCCAATACCCAGCAGAAACTATTTTGCCCTTATCTCTAATTTTGTTGTAGAGAGAGTATAAGCAATAATAGGAAGGAACAAGGGTTTTTGCTGGTTGAGATAAGGATAGCTATACAGGGAGTTGACTCACATTAATTTCCTGTGCGTGGGTGTTACCTTCTAGGTTAATTCTTTTTGATCTCACCTTTTCTCTAGTTCCTGGTCCCCTTTTCCTATTGGCCTCAGTTGCTTTTAAGGTATCTGCTTTAGTTTCTCTGTGTTAAGGGCAACAAATGCTAACTAGTTTTTTAGGTGTCTTACCTATCCTCACCCCTTCCTTGTGTGCTCTCGCTTTTATCATGTGCTCAAAGTCCAATCCCCTTGTTGTGTTTGCCCTTGATCTAATGTCCACATATGAGGGAGAACATACGATTTTTGGTCTTTTGGGCCAGGCTAACCTCACTCAGAATGATGTTCTCCAATTCCATCCATTTACCAGCGAATGATAACATTTTGTTCTTCTTCATGGCTGCATAAAATTCCATTGTGTATAGATACCACATTTTCTTAATCCATTCGTCAGTGGTACCACCTACTTTATAAAGATGCCAAGAGGATTGGCTGAGTTGATCAATGTAAGGTGCTTAGAACAGAACCTGATTACCATTCATTGAAAAAGTTTTTAGTATGAACAGATGAATCAAGTGCCAATATTAATCAGGCCTGCCTTTTTAAATATAAATAGTCACAGTAGGTCTAAAAGCATGTGTTCACTGACTAGCATAGAAAATGCTAACATCTCAGGTGCTGTGTCTGAGGAGCTCACAACTTTCTTGGGGAAGCAGGATGTCTACAGTGGAGAGCTAGCCAAGGTAGCAAGCAGTTCTGTGACAACTTGGAAAGGATAGAAGGTAGAGAAGTGCCAGAGGGATTTTAAGAGTAGAAAATCATTGTGGGTTTGCAAATAATTTTTAGGTCATATAGGAGAGCTAGTGGGAAGAAATTTTCAATCTCAAAGAAAAAGTGACAGCGGTTTATCCAAACTTAGATGAGTTGACTGAGGATTGAGATGTGTGACCTTCACACTGTGGAAGTTCTTGTCTCTGAACACCTCAGCCTCTAAGCAAATCAGTGGCTTCAGGGGGTGGGGCAAGATGAAGATATAGTAGTCTCCACTTATTCATGGCTTCATCTACCCACTGTCAGCTGTGGTCTGGAAATACCACGTGAAAATTTCAGAAGTAAACAATTCATAAACATTCATGTAGTGAAACGGCTAATGATGAGATCATTGTTTCTCAAAGTGTTAGAAATACAAGTGGTCAGACTTTACTCCAGTTCTGAAATTTAAGGGTGGCCCAGTAATCTGTATTTTAGTCAGTCTGCCAGGAGATTCTGCTGCATGGTACAGTTTGAACTGTTGGCCTAGATTGCACAAAGGTAGAACATGAAACAACAATTGTTGGTCTTAATTGAAAACATGTCATGTTCTGTGGTAAGCACTTTACCTACATTATGTCATTCAAAATGAAGCTGAATCCATATTCCCTCTGTTCCTTGAACTGAAGGTTGGTTATTGCTACAGAGAACTCATTCTTCTTGCTCATCAGTACCACATCCTCTGAGTTTTATCTCCTCAGTATTTCTTGGTGCTTTTCGTTCCCCTCCTTTTCCACTTTTTTGTCCCATTGCAGCTTTTCATTCTTTCCCTGTTGTCTCTTGCATCCTGTTCAGGGCCTTCCTCTGCCCAGTCTGGCCTGGACCACAGTGCAGTCTGATTATTTTTCTCTCTTGTGGAACAGCTCCTGTTAGTACTCACGTGCTAAGCCTATCCCAATGATGATCGGAATTAACCTCCACTACTACTGTGTACTAATAGATATCATTATCACCCTACTGTTAAAGATGAGTTAAAGAGGGTTGGGGGGAAGAGGGAAGAAATGACCGAAACATTGTATGCACATATGAATAAAAGAAATTTAAAAAAAAAAAAGGTGAGTTAAAGAGAGTCACGTGGCTTACCTAGCCCAGCTTTTCATCACTCTTCTGCTGCCTTTGCTCTTTGTTGCATGAGTAAGGGTTCTTGATAGCTATATTTGTTTGCAGGAGCTGCTGTAACAAAGTACCACGAACGAGGCAACTTAACTCAATAGAAATCTATTCTGTCACAGATCTAGGGGCTAAGAGTCTGAATTGAGGTGTTGGTTGGGCCATGGTTCCTCTAAAGCTTATAGAGAAAGGATCTTTCTTTTCCTCTCTTAGCTTCTGGTAATTTATCTACAATCTTTAGTATTCCTTGGCTTATAAATGTTTTGCTACATTCCTCCATATTTGTATGGACATTTTCCTTCTGTGCATGTCTGTCTCTGGGTCCAAATTTCCCCCTTTTTATAAGAATATGAATCTTTTCTTATAAAAGTATTATCATGACCTAATGACCTTATTTTAACTTGATTACATCTGTGAAGATCCTATTTCCAAGTTAAGCCACATTCTGAGCTATTGGGGATTAGGACCTCAAGGTATCTTTTTTTTTAGGGGCACACAGTTCAACACATAACAGTAATTTTGTTCTGTGAGTAGTGACAACCTAAATTTATCAGATAGTGCACCCAGCACTAACTTGAGCAGACCCAATTTTGCTGTAAAATTTCTTTTAAAAATTATTAACATTATCAGCCAAGAAGTAGAAATAGGTTTTGCTTATAGTTATTCTCTGAGGATGATAATAAGAAAAAGGCAAAGGGAGTCGGGGAAGGCTTTTCCTTTGTTACACTGAGATTTGGAACTGACTCCTCCTATCTGATAATAAGGGGTCTTCACAAGCTCTTCTTGTTTGTGTTTGAGTAGAAGCATTTCTTTGAAGCAGACAGGTCCTCCATCTCTGGAATCCTTTCGTGGGCCTCTGCCCGCCCCCTGAAGAGTGGACTTCCATTTCACACTGGGTAACAGGTTCAAAGGTTCAGGTAGTATGGAGGAAGGTAGAAAAGATGCTGTGAGAGGGGAAGGAAGGGAAAATGGGCCTAAAATGACAATATCCAAAGGAATCGCTTCCCTTATAAAAATGCACATTTAAGGCATGAGACTGAAGAAAGAGAAAACCAAAATAAGAATTAGTAACTCTGTCTTGGGAGCACTTCTGGATATGTTCAGCTGGCATTTTAGAGAGCTATTTGAGAATATTTAGTTACCCTCAGCTGTAGGGGTCCTGTTTACTTCAAGTGAAGGAAAGTCAGAGTTAATAGGAGGAATGACCTGAAATTTAGCTGCAGAGATAAGAGGAAAGAACAGTTTTCATTGTGGATACTGGGACTAGGTTCAGCAGAAGAGCTTTGTTATTGAAGCCATCTAGAAGGAAAGGTCTGTACCTTCCTCCTAGGAAAAAAAGTTATAGAGAGTAAGCACAAAGACTTTGGCCATCTTTAAAGGCAAGAGTTCATTATTAGTTTTTGGTGACTCTGTGTGGCTGACCGTCATTCATTGATTTATGTCAGGGATGTATATGGTACTACTAAATGTTTTTATAGCCTGAGGATCCAGCAGTGCCTCTTATGAGAATCTTAAGTGGGCAGTTACGCTGGGAACAGTGGCAATGGGAAGGCAGGGTACCATGTTCTTATAATCTGGGTTTGACTACCCAGTATAGAGCTCACTGATATGCTGGTTTGGGCTTACCCTGAAGGTTATTCAGTACGTGAAGGCATGTTATAACAATTGTGTGAGTGGATATTTTCACTGTTCACTGTGTATGAGACTAAACAGTGATAAACTTACCTTTAGCAAAGGGAATTTAGATGAGAATGGAGGGAAACCACCACAGCTACAATGTGGGACGTTTTAGTAAAGGAGTACATAGTGCTTACTTTTGGGTATTTTAGGGAAAGCCAGAAACAGGCCATAGCTGATGTCTACTTTGGATGATTTTCTTTGATTTGATTTGCCTGTGGGGCTGCATACTCAGAAAGGACCAACTCCCTATCTTCCCTTCCTCTTCTGCATATGACCTAATATTACAAATTTTCTAAAAGGCAAGTGAATTGGAGCCTTGGTCTTTAGTTTCTGAAGAAATAATGTTCTTAGGAGGTGTTGAGGCTCACAGGGTAATCATGTGGTATTTTCAATGAGGAGACCTGGTTTCAAATCCTGGCTGCTACTTACTGTGTGTTCTGGGGCATGTTACTTAACCCCTTTGAATTTGCTTCCTCATTATTAAAATGGGTACTTAAATCATAGGCTGTTGTGAATATTCAGTGAGACAGGGCACAGAAGGGCTCTTGTCTGGCACACAGTGGTGCTCAGAATATGTTAGCCATTATTCCTCTATTCTAGACTTTCAAGCCAGTCTTGGCAACTCACATCCAGCTATATAATTGCTCTTTCACCTGCTTATGTGACCACTGCCTTTCTTCCTTCATCACAGCTGCTGGCCTTCCTCCAAGGACTTTTCACTTTCTATCACCATGGTTATGAACTGGCCAAGGATTTTGGTGACTTTAAGACACAGTTGACCATCAGCATACAGAACGTAAGTAGGTATAGGGACAGACTTTCTTTCTCTGGTTAAGGAAAGGAAAAGCAAAATATGGGTCTGGTTGCCCTACAGCTGCCTGTGTGGGTTGGAACTAGATGGGGAGGGTATGTCTTGCTTGGGTTCAGAGGGCAGCTGGGGCAGGCATTTCTAGAGTGCATGGCCCAGGCACCATCCGCTCAGCTCTAGTATTTTCAAAACACTAGTTATGTTTTTGGAAGTGCTGTTGCTGATTTAAATCTGTTGCAACAGAGTCAGGATTTCCTTTGGTGGTTGAAAGCCCAACCCAGCCCAGTCCATCCTCCCTTCTGTGCATTTCACACCTTAGAACATGTGTCCAGGGGATAGGGACACATGTTTAAACTCAGGACCACTGGGTGTGCAGACTCCTCCTTAGGTGTTTTGGTAGCATGCACCAGGGTCAAGCCATCCTCTTCACTGTAGAATTGACCATGCTGGTCTTCATATTTTCTGTGGGTGCTCCTTTGTAGGAAATCAACCCAGGTGTTTCTGGATGGCTTTTAGAATCCTGGAGCTTATGTGTTGTCTCAGAGATTAGGAAGTTGCAGTGTCAGAAAAGGTTTCACAAAGCATGGCTTCCTCTCCGGCTGGGTTCTTCTGAAGGCCCACTTTGAAGTGGAGATGTGTGTGCAACAGGTTTATGGGGGTGAAGGTAGTAAGAACCCTTTGAATGAATGAGTACAGGATGGGGTGGGATGTTGAGTTGTGGTCAGGTACAGCAGAGGCCTCAGTCGATGCTGTGGGGTATGGATGAGGGGGCTTTAGGGCTGGGTAGAAACCAGGGATGCAAGCTGCCCTGGGGGAGGGGATGGCCTTGAGTGCAGCAGCTCCCCTTTGAGAGTGGAACCTGTCTGTGGGTGGGGTAGATTACAAAACAAGATTCAACTACTTCTACAAGAAATGTAACTCACAGGAGAAGATAAACGCAGGCTCCAAGTGAAAGAATGGAAAAAGATTTTCTAAAGAACTGGACCCTGAAACAGCAGAATTGGCTATATTTATATCTGAAAAAGTAGATTTCAAACCCAAATTAGTCAGAAGAGACAAAGAAGGTCACTTCACATTGATAAATAAAACAATCCATTAGAAGGAAGTAACAGTCATAAACATATATGTACCAACTTTCAGTGAACAAAATTTCATAAAACCACTACTGGACTTCAAAGCACAGATAGATTCCAATACTGTAGTAATGGGTGACCTTAAGATGCTGTTCTCACCAACATTTAGGTCATTCAGACAAAAACTCAATAAGGGATTTTATAATTAAATGACACCATAGATCAGATGGATTTACAAAGCTCAACAGAATATTCCATTCAACAGCCACCACACACAAATTCTTCTCTCATTTCAGAGAACTTTCTCCTATATAATATAAAATATTAAATATTGATATGAAATATTATGGGTGTGTTGGAAGTTTGGTCCTCCACGTGGTGATGTTGAAATGTAGAATGTGTAAGAGCTGTGGCTAAGTGGGAGGTCAGTAGGTCAATGGGTGCATACCTTCAGAAGGGATTGTGTGACCCCAGACTCTCAGGTTTGCTGTTTCAACAGACCATGATATGATACAACCAAGAGGGCTCTCACCAGACTTGAAATGATACAAGGGCTAGACCATTGTATTTTCAGAATTTTGTGTAAATATACTGCTTTCTTATAATTAGCTTGTCTCAGTAATTTTGTCCTAGTAATAAAAACAGATTTATTTTCCTGATTTCATGTAGAAATAACTGTGAAATAAATTTCTTTCCCCCCAAAAAAAAAAAAATGAGTCATGTTCCCTGTAACTGGATAAGTGAAGGCGGACAGGCCCTGGACCATCTGGATCAGAATTGCCTGGCATGCTTATTTAAGATGCATGCTCCTGGGCCCAAAGGTTGTCAGTTGATCTTAGGAGTAAAGGCTGGGCATTTGAATCTTCTACAAGTTTTGTAGGTGATTTGGATGGTTGAGAATCATTCAGATATGGGACTGTAAAGCCAAAGTAAACTGCTTATAAGTGAATATTAGCCCAGTGTCTTGGTTTCAATGCCCTTTGTCTGACTTTAGATCCAAAATCTGTATTAGGCTGATCTTCTGAATTGTTGAACAGAAATTCCATTGGTTCCATTTCTTTGACTTAAGTCAAATTCCTTTCGTCTTAGACAAGAAACCGCTTTGAAGGCACCAGGTCAGAAGTGGAATCACTGATGAAGAAGATGAAGGAGAACCCCCTCGAACACAAGACCATCAGCCCCTATACCATGGAAGGGTACCTGTATGTGCAGGAGAAACGTAAGTGCTCTGCCTGCCAATGGCCGGGCACACTCAAATCCTCAGAAAGCAGACAGTGCATCTGTCAGTGCCTGGCCTCCTGCTGCTCTGAACCTAGGAGAGTGACAGTTATTCTGTGGTGTAGGTTACAAAGGGAAAGGTGATGTCCACAACATTTTGTCTACCTCTGAGTGACCTATTCTGTTTTGTTTGCACGGGAATTCTCCTGGCCCTTAGAATTCTCTGAGGCTCTGTGGTTTCCTTCCTACTGTTCCTCTACCCTTGAGCCTCCTGTGTTCTTCCTATGGCTGTGTATAGTCCACCCTGAGCATAGCAGCCATGGAAAGGACTTGCATGCTACACCTTCTTGTCAGTCAGCAGTCACATCCTTTGTTAGACTTAACATTGGTGATTCTGTCACTTTCATTCTGCATCTCTTGTGTCTCTGAGGTTTCCTTGTCTGCTTTTCAGATCTTTTTGAGTTCTGCTAAAATAAAAATTAGGGATTTGGAAGTAGGTCAGAACCCTTGATGTCACTGAGCAGCTGTGTGGGAAGCTGCTCCCAGATGGGAATGGTAACAAGCACTTGGAGGAGCTTTTCTGTGTTCTTTCCTCAGTCATCTTACTCCTGTCAGGGAAGAGAATGGAAACTTTAAACAGAGATTGATGATGGGAACATGAATTAATTTCCCCAGGGAACCTCTACTTCCCTTATATTTTAAGACCCACTGGCTATAGCATTAGTGGAAAATAGGGTTATTGAATCTCTGGGGGAAACCTTGGCTTGGTTCCATTTCCAGCCTATGGGATCAGATTTTCTGTCTATTTCAGCTTAGCTGGTATGGAGAATACATTGCCCCTAAATCAGTGTAAGGGTAGATGAGCATTATGGGCTGTGGGCTGCAGACTGTGTGTTTCTGCAGTTAGTGATGCACGACTACAGTGGAAGCATGTGGATGTTTAATGGGCAGTATTACCTTGCAGGTCACTTTGGAACTTCCTGGGTGAAGCACTACTGTACATACCAACGGGATTCCAAACAAATCACCATGGTTCCATTTGATCAAAAGTCAGGAGGAAAGGGGGTGAGTTCATTTTTAAAAATTTCATGCTTGATTTTCTTGGGTGGCAGATAATGATTATAATGTATATATAAATTAACAGTTTCAATGTTTTACTGTAATTCTTTTAATTTTTATACATTACCTTCAGGAGGCATAGTACTCTGAAGATGACTGAAATAATATTCTTAGCTCTAACTTATATTAGGCACTGTAATCAAGAAAGATTCTTGCATTTCACATATATGCAATAATATTAAACGTGTCACATGTTTTAAGATGCTAAAAAGTTAGGAGTGACTTCATCCTGTGAAACTGATTAGTGTCACTCTTACATGATTTCTGGAGAGTTGCCAGTTGGCACTGTAGATGTCCCAGTTATGTATTGCTGTATAACAAGTCACCCCAAAACGTAGCAACTTCTAAAACCACACTAGTCATTTTAGTAGTTCTCACAAGTTCTGTGGGCCAGGAATTTGGGGAGCATTTGGATGGGTGGTTAAGACTCACTTTTCATAAACTTCCAATTAGATGGTAGCTAGAGCAGGAACAATGGTTTGAAGCAGCTCAGGGCTGCTCAGGTAAACCTCTCTCTGTTCTTTTTCCCTGCTTGTTCCCTCTGTCTCTGAGTGGTCTCAAGGCCTGTCCCTCTGGTCTCTACATGGGTTAGTTTGTGCATCCTCACAGCATCAATGACAAAGGATGACCTCAAAGGTATCTATAGGTGGAGTTAAAGCAGATAATGCCCTGTTTCTTAACTTCAGAAATCATTAGCCTTACTTTTGTTTGAAAGTTTCTCAAAATCTGAACAGTTTCAATGGGAGAGGACGTAGACCCTATTTCTTGATGGTAGAAGTACCAGCATCTCATGATATGAAGAGCATGTGCCATGGAAGATATTCCGTAGCCATCTTTAGAAGAAAGTATCAGGACACTTCTTGATTTCCTCAGCATTCTTCTCATGTACAGAGCTACTGCGTCTTGCCTCCTGCCAGTGAGTCTGTTGGATATTCACTCAGCAGTCCTATGCATTTCCTATGGAGGTGATCTGCCATTTCAGTCTGTGTTCTTTTACTGCCTTCTTGTCTTTCCCTGATAGTCTTCTGCATTTCATTATGATAGTCCTGGATTTGAATTTAAAAAAAAAATCCATTGCTAAGACATTTTTGGCTTTTCTTGACTTTTTCAAAAAATTTTTTGATGGTACTGGGGCTTGGACGCAGGCCTCATGCTTGCTAGGCATTGCTAGGCAGCACTTGGGCCACATTCTCAGCTTAAAAAAATATATATATGTATTCTTTTGCAGGGTGGGTGGTACTGGGGGTTAAATTCAGGGTCTTGTGGTTGCTAGGTAGGTGCTCTGCCACTTTAGCCACTCCACTAGCCTTGTTTTTCAATAACAATGAAAAATTCTTACTGATTATCACTTTGAATTTTGTCTCTTCTTCATTCTTACTATTCTTACTATTCTTACTATTCTTAATATTCTTACTATTATTTCCTTCTAGATTATTATTTTAATAATCTTAATAAGAATTTTGTTTTTCATCCCATTTTTTAAAGTGGTGTTGGGGATCAAACATAAGGCCTTGTACATACTTGGCAAGTACTTTGCTCCTGAGCTACATTCCTAAGCCGTGAATTTTTCATCTCTCTGAATCTTTGGACTACATGTGAATAATTTCTCTGGTTCTATCTTCAATGTAAGTAATTTTTTAGTTGGATCAAGTCTGTTGATAAATTAGTACTCTACTAGCCCTCCAACCTTGATCCTCTCCATGGCGCATTTTTGTGTACTGTGTTGGGTTAACATGTGGGACATCAAAGTGCAGAAGTAGAGAGCACTGGCTTTGATATCAGACCTGCCTGGATCAGTGCGGTTAGGTGCTGCTGTTGTTACTGTAGATACTTAGCTGTGCTGTGCCCTTTGTGTTCTTCCACTTCCAACTTTTCTTCCTGGCTTTTTTTTACTTCTGTCACAATAGAGAAGTTTATCAGCATCTCTGTTTCTTCCCTGTGTCCAAGCAACAACAAAGCCCTTTTAATATTTCTTGGCAGAGGTAGGATATATATAATGTAGAGGATCTCAGGAAAACAAACATGTTCAAACAGAGAAATTACAGTTAGAAGGAATGTTAAAAATCTAAGTAAATAGTACCCTAGTTCATGAAATGGAGTTCTACTTTCCTTGGATTGAGTTATAGTCTTTTTCCAACTTTTACTGCTTCAAGAAATCAGCTTCACTGAATTATTCTTTACCACAGGCTTTATTTTGGGGCTTTTTATCTTGAACTTTCCAGGTCTTTAATGTACTCTGTTATATTTTCTCCACTCTCTTACCACATTTGAAAGTTAAGGTTAGAGACCAATTATGGTGGGGGTTTATGTTTCCAGAGACTTCTGTGAGATCCTAGTAAATATACCTCACTGGATAAGAGGTTAGTGCAGATCAACTTTTTGGGACAGAGCCTGACATTGGTGAGTCAGTGTACTAAAGTGTGTTAGTATACTTGATCTTAGCCAAAAAGCCAAAAAGTGATTGACTTTTATACTACAATAAGTCATTTTCTTAATAATAATTCCTTAATTTATATTACATTTAATAACATTCTATAAGATTTTATAATCTTCTATTTTCTTATTTGATCCAGTTTCTCCTTTTACAAAGGGGGTTTGAGGGTCAAAGAAATCTACTGACTTCTCAGGTCAAGTGACTAATGTGTTCTAGAACTAATACTGAATCTTCATGCTGGGGTTGGAATCTCCTACTTCTGAAGCCATGTACTTTCCCTGTTGTCACCCTGTTTCCTCAGCTTCCCAGTAGAGGAAATAGGAGAACCAGATATCTAGTGGTCAACACCACTTGGTTTGTACAGACAGTCATGTGATGTGTAAGCATCCATGTTTCTACAGAGTTCTCCTGGGAGCTGGAGGTAGATTTAACACAGCTAGTCAGGTGTTTTCTTTTCTAATGTGACTCTTGCCTACCCTTTTTGGTCTCTTCACCTTCCTTTTCATTTGGATTATTTTTTTGGACTTGTGAGCAGATTTGCTCCATTCTTTTGGAGAACTGTCCTTGTGTGTGGTTTAAGAATTCCCCTGTATCCTACCCTTTGAGAGAGGCACCATCTGCTGTCTGGAGCAGTTCAGAATGAAGCCCTTCATTTCTTTCCTGCTTTTGTTAGGATACAAACCAAAACCCTGTATAGTCTGGCCTCTGCTTTCTTCCAACCCCTTTTTGTTGCATTTTGCCTACTCTGGGCTTCCAGCCACATTGGCTTCCATTTTGTTCCTCTAAGACGCACAGGACCCTTCTCACAGGGCCTTTCCACCTGTTGCTCTCTACCCCCTGCTCTTTTCTTCTCTTTTTATCTCTTGTGAATCCTTCCAATCCCAGCTTAAGAAAGTCATCCCCAACTTTCCTGACCCCCTCAAGTCTTTTCATTTCAGCTTTTATGGCTGTCTCTCTCTCTTTCTCTCTTCCTCCCTTCTTCCCTACTTCCCTCCCTCCCTCCCTCGTTCCTTCTCTCCCTCCCTCCACCCTCTCTCCACCTTCTCTCTCACTGTTACGGTTATAATTTTCTATTTTTTTAGTATGGTTATCTATATCTATCCTCTATGTATCCTGTATAGTCTGGCCTCTGCTTTCTTCCAACCCCCTTTTGTTGCATTTTGCCTACTCTGGGCTTCTAGCCACATTGGCTTCCATTTTGTTCCTCTAAGACGCACAGGACTCTTTTAAGTCCATAAGAACAGATCATTATAGATTTTTCCTGATTGTAGCATGGTCATCCTGGCAACAGGATCTTCCTTTTTCTGCTTGTGTTTGTTGATCGTTTATAAACCCTCATTCTCTCCCATTTCTCCATGGTACCTCATATAAGCTTTCACAGTAGAAGCTGGTCCACAGCTATTAAATCTGAAATATAGTTAGACATTAACAAGACCAGAATCTCTTATGTTTGGGTGTTTATGCTTATTAAAGGACATAATTAGAACAATTTAAAGATATTAATTGTCTTTATTTTTGATTCTGGAATTGGGGAACACTTTATGACGTAAAATTTTAAAAAAGTATTTCAATGAGGTAAGCAGAAGAAGTTGGTCTAAAGACAGAGAGAGACTGAAGAAAGCAGAAACAGAGCACAAAATGAACTGGTCATTTCAAAGTTATTTTCCTAGGTCTGGGAGTGTTGCTCAGTGGTAGAGCACTTGCCTAGCATGTACGAGGCCCTAGGTTTGATCTCTAATACCACAAACAACAAAATGAAGTTACTTTCCTTGTAAAGAGGGAACAGGAGACACACAATAGAAAAATAACTGATTGGTTAACATCAGGTTCCCTTTTTTTTTTTTTTTGTGTAACGATGAAGGCAGAGGGAACTTTGCTATCGTGCCAATGGAAAGAGCCTGTTTGGGCAGTTTGGCTATTTGCTCTCACTTCTCCTGGTTCCTTGGGAGGTTAGATAAACAGTTTAGTTTTGGTTTGGTAATGGGAACATTTGCAAGGGTGACTCCCATGTTGATTTTCAGTCTGGCCTTTTGGGATCAGTGCAGGAGCCTTAGTCCAAAACAATGGCCTCCTATAACTTTAACACTTCATTTGTCTTACAAAGTGAAGAAAGAACAGTTCTCAACCTGAGAAATCAATCTTTTCTATTCAATAAAAGACAATAGATGGAAGGCTTCAGAATACAAACTGTTTCTTCCTAAGTCTTCTGTGTTTTGTGTGCTATTCTGATGTTAGTGGATAGTTACATTTACCTTATGTGGTCACATTTCAACAAACCAGGCAAGCTTGTTAATTTCCTCATTAGCTTAGAAAAAAGATTGACAAAGGCAGGAGAAACAGGAACCCCAACGAATTCCTTAGTGACAGAAAGAGAAGTCAGGGATAGCAGCGTCTGTGTTTCTAGGCAATGAATTAATACTATGAGATAAAATTGTCACATGCATGTATACAGTGGAATACTACCCGGCAATAAAAATAAACTTTTGATGCAACATGGATGAAACACAAAAGAATTATACTTAGCAAAAAATACATATTTTGTTGTCCCATTTTTATAAAATGTAGAAGTTGCAAACTAATCTGTAGTGACAGAGCAGATACAGTGGTTGCCTGGGGATGAAATGGGAGACGGGATGGATTACTAAAGGACATAAGTAAAGTTTTAGGTTTGATGGAAATGTTTGTTAGCACACATACAGTTATGGTTTCATGGGTGCAATAGATGTCAAAATATATTAATTGTATAACACTAAACATATGCAGTTTATCAAATTTGTCGATAAAACGGTTAAATAGTTTATTGTATATCTATTCCATCCAGGACCTGGTTGAGCTCAGGTGACACAAGAGTAATCAAAAACAGAGTCTCTTGTCCTTAGGGAGTTTACAGTCTAATGGGGAGAGAGACATTATTTTAATTATTTCATGCATCACTGGCAGGTTTCAGCTGTGATTGGTGCTATATGAATACATATTGGGATCTTTGACCTGGGCTAGGAAGATACTCTTAAAGAAATGATGACTGACCCAAGATCACAGAAGCTCAGTTAGAAGGGCATTGTCTTCATCCACTCTTATTAAACCTGCAAACTAAACATGATTAGAACGATTTCAACAGGCCATGTCCTGTGGATCAGTGCTGTACTATCATGATCCACAAGTACTAAACATACTTGGTTCTAAATATAACAGGACTTCCAAATTTTTGCTGCAGGAGGCTCTTGCCTGAGAAGCTGCAGACTAATCGCTGTCCCTCTCAAATGTTGTGAACACTCAGATTGAGAAGATGAAATGAAACTCTGTTTATGTGCTGTGTTTGTCCCAGAGAAGAACTGAGCCCACATGCTGGCCTTGCCTTGATAGTCTGTGTGTTTCTTCTAGGGAGAAGATGAATCCGTCACCCTCAAATCCTGCACACGGCGGAAAACAGACTCTATTGAGAAGAGGTTTTGCTTTGATGTAGAAGCAGTAGACAGGTGAGTAGCTGTCACACTTTTCTCAGGAACATATATTACTGAATTTGGTTTTCTTTCTTTTTCCTTTCAGTCATAGCTTTTCTCTCCCTCCCTCCATCCCTTTTCCATCCCAACCTATATCCAGTTTTCATTAGACTTTATGCCATTGCTGATTTGCCAGGGTCAGTTACAACCTCCCCACCTTTTGTGGTCAGTACTGAATCACTAGGTTTGTTTTGTTTTGCTTTAATGTTAACCCTTCCATGATCAGGAACATGTGTTATATCTTTAGGATGCAGGGGTAGATGTTTAAAGAAAATGGTCTCAATTTAGTATGATTGCATCTGATAGTTAGGTTTTTTTTTATTTTCTCAAAATCTTAATACAATGATTCAAAAGGAGTAGAGTTAGAAGTTTTACTCAAATATCTTTTTTTTTAAAAAAGGTCTTAACTATAGCATTTCACTTATTTCTGTGTGTGCACACTTAAGAAAGACACCAAACTGCTTGTGAAATCAGTCTAGGAGAGAGCTGTGTGTTGTCTTCCTAAAGATTTTTGTGATTCTCATTAAGTTATACCATTTCATGGTGTTAAGCTAGTCTGACAAGATTCCAATTCTTTGAGACTCTTTACTTGGCAACAGGTTAAGTCTTTCAGTGAAGCTCACGTGTTAAGCTTATTTGAGATACCTGTTCAGGATCAGCAATGTTAGCACCAAGATCCTTAAATCTCAGCAGGATACTCATGTAATGCCATTTAATCTCTCTTCCTTATTAAAAAAAAAAAGCCACATCATTTTGTCAAGCCAATACTTATCCCCTCTCTCCTTGGGGAATTTACCTGTGGCCATTTTTCACCAGCTGTAAGAGGTCCTGGGATTGAGTACTGCCTGGGATGTGCTCTGTGCTCCTTCATGATCTGGGAGAGTTGGAAAGCCTTCTTGTGGCAGGTGTCTCCTTTACACCATGGTTCCTGGAGGCTGCACACTCCTTTAGCCTAAATCAAAAGTTCATGGAAACTAACCACATCTCTTAAGCAATTCAGTGATTACACCTTTGGTTCTCAAGTCAGACAATGTGGGTCCAAATTTTTACTTTGCTGCCAGGTAGCCATATGACTTTCAGCAAGCTACTTAATCTCACAGAGCTTTGATATCCTCATCTGGAAAATAAAGGTGGCAATAGTACCTAGTTCAAAGGATTATTATGAGGATTCAAAGAGATAATACATGTGCAGTGCTGGGCAGGATGGCAGATAAAAAGTGCACAGCAAGTATTAGCTGTTATTTGTTGCTAATTACCTTGTTCTGCATGTTCATCTGACTTGATTTTTCCTTTCTCTTCTAAGTCCAGACAAGTATATGTAATTTATAAAGAAAAGAAAGTGCTCTAGCCCTAAACTGTGGGAGGGGAAGGGGAAATGGGCAGCCTGGGAGATAGGTAGAATTGGGTAGCAACAGGGAATTGTGAAAGCCTTCCTCAAACCCAATTACAAATCTTCTATCTGAATACTTTAAGCTTGTGTAGGCACCTCTCTTCTCTGTTGTAGTCATGGAATTCAGGGAATGTATATTACTGGCATTCTTGGAGGAGTCTCAGATGTTTTTGTGTGAAAGGGGAGCCAGTTTGATGCCAATAAGATGTGTAGTTCCTGGAGATGGTCATGTGTTTGTGTGGCTGTTTAGAAGAGGGCATGCCTTCCATTGCAGATCTCTATCAGATTGAAAGCATCAGAGATGCTTTCTGGAGTTGAATTATTTTCTGTCTTTCAGAAGTTTCCTGAGAAGTTGTAGAGAGTTGCTTTTGGACAGTTAAACTCTTGTGGTGTCTCTATCTCATTTCTCCCATCACCAATACTTTCTGGCACTTCCTCTCCTTTTTCATGAGCACAAACCTTAATCAGCAGGCACAGTGGTGTGTGCCTATAGCCCCAGCTCCTCAAGAGGCTGAGGCAGAAGGATCACTTGAGCCCAAGAATTCAAGACCAGCCTGGGCTACTCAGTGAGACCCTGTTTCAAAAAAGAGAAAACAAACAACAACAACAACAACAACAAAAGAAAACAAAACCCAAAGCAACAGTAACTTTGCAGGCCCCAGTTATAAGCCAGAAGTATAAATGTCAACACAAGAGTGTACTTGGTAAGTCCATTTCTGCACGTATCTGTCTCTGATTCTCTCGGCATGATGTGGATGGTGTTGGGCAGGGTCCAACATGAGGTGTCAGAGCTCTCTGAAGCCAGAATTGAGTCAGCAGTTGTATGGAACCCTTTCTCTCTCAGTTTTTGTTAAAGGCCTTATGGATTAAGCTGCAATTTGGCAATATTTTTCTTCTTTCTGTCCCTTTTTTTTTTTTAACTCCAGTGTCTTACTGAATTTTCTTCATGTATGTATAAGGGAACTAGGGTGAAAAAAGGCTTTTTTTTTTTTTTTGTCTCTTTTTTGGCAGGGCTAATCTCAGACTCACTGTTGTAGCCCAGATTGGGTTTGCATCCGTGATCCTTTTGCCCTAGCCTCCTGAGTGTTGGGTTTATAGGTCCATGCCATCATGTCTGACTCAAGAAAATGTACTTCTGTGTACTGGGTGGCAGCAGTATGGGGAGCTCTACCCCAGTCCTTTTCTCTGGATGACTCCTGCTGTCCTTTTTACCAGTGCCCTTTAGCAGGGAGGGGATTGCTGCTAGACACCTGTTCTTTCAACCTCATCCAGGTTCCTCAGTTCTGTTTGCTATGTCAGAAGCTGGGGTCAAAATGCAAGTTTATCATAGAAAATGGATAAAAAGGAGGGAATTGTTGGATCAAATGCTCCTAGAATATGTTGTATGTTGACAGACTATATAAACACTTATGTAGTTGTTGTTAATGTGGTATTCTATCAAGATACAGTGTGATTTTTATGACTTACACTATGAGATGCTGTAGGTTTTAAGACTGAATGTGTTTGTGCTTTAGACTTAATGCTGATAGTTTGTGTTTCTTTATAATAGAGGCTCTAGGCAGTGATATTCCAGGAGGTCAATAATATGAATTGATTACATCAGTGCCTCATTGTATGGTGGAACCAATTGCACTGAGCATTCATTGGGGTGCTTGCCAGAATTGGAGGTTCCTCATGTTTACCCCAGATCTACACAGTCTGATACTTTAGGACTGAAACTCCAAATTCCATATTTTCAAGTTCTCTAGTTGTTCATTATTCTTACTAATGATTGGTAATATACCACACATTTCACAATACAATTTCATCAGAGCACATAAAAATGTTTTCTTTACTAGAAACATTAGAACAAGCGACCACAGAAAAACAAAACAGGACCCAAAAAATCCCAGGCTCCTTTGTATAGGAACTTAGTACTTACCCATGTGAAAGAGAAGAATACAGCTAGTAGAAAGAGTTACTTCCAGTCCCCGAGACAGATGCCTTCACCAGGAAGAAAGCAGCAACCATCACCACTGCAATAAAACTCCAGCTTTAGATAAAGGATGTTAAAATGGAGGAGGGGTGTTGTGGTAGTTGAGTATGTTCTGTGTGCTGGATGCTCTTCGTTCACTATTTCACGCAATCCTCGTTATAACTCAAGAAGGTGGGTAGCCTACCCAGAGAAGTGGGTACCTGCCCAGGGAGGTGAGCACTCCCATGATGCTGCTGTGGAGCCTGCAGTTCCGAGGGGTAAGTAGTCTTCGCAAGGCAGAGTAGATTTAAACTGAGGTTTTCAGGAGCTCATTCCAGGGCTATCTAAAACTCAGGATATGTTAGAAATGTTTCCAGCAATGAGCCCAGTGTGTCAATGATTGTTTCAGAGATACCACAGAAGTGTTCACCTTGCAGCCTGTGAGATCTGAGAACTACTGTTCTCACTCCAATAATTTGTACTTGGCATCATAAGCTAGTTGTCCCATAAGCTAAAGCTTCATTCTTGGTTCTGTTCTTGTACTCTGTGACCTTCAGCAAGTCCTCAAATGGCTAAATTAAAAGAGGCCATGTAGATAGCACATGGCATAGATGTCTGACAAATGTTACCCCCCCTACTCCTCCTTTGTGTGTGTGTGTGTGTGTGTGGTACTGGGGTTTGAATTCAGGGCCTTACACTTGCCAGGCACGTGTTCTGCTACTTAAGCCATACTCTCAGCTCTTTTTGCTTTAGTTATTTTTTGGGTAGGGTCTTCCATTTATGCCCAGGCTAACCTGGACTGCCATCCTTCTATTTATGCTTTCTGCATAACTGGGATGACAGATGTGCAACATCTGTTGGTTTGACATGTTATTTTTACCTGGGCTGGCCTCAAACTGCAATCCTCCTGATCTCTGCCCCTTGAGTAGCTAGGATTACAAGTGTGAGTCACCTCGCCTTTTTTTCCCTTATTTTTTTAATTTAATTTTTATTAGGATATATTCATTGTACAGGAAGAATTCATTGTGACAATTTTAAATAGGCTTATATTGTACATTGGAAGATTGCCCCCATCATCTTCTTCCCACCCCAGACTCCCTCCCTGCCCCCACTTAAAACAGTTGCAAGAGGTTTCATTGTTCTATTTCATGTATGTATATGAAGCCCATCAATCCTATTCCCTCACTTTCATCTCCATTCACCCTCCTCCCTTCCTTAAGTATCCCCATCCCCCTCAACCTGTTTTACAGTCCTGTCTTTCGTTATTAATTCCAAAGTCCATTGTGCAAAGTTGCCTTCTATTTTTAAGGTTCTACTCATTTAAAAACTTTTTATCCAGGGAGACTATCATGAGAAGGAGAAATGGGAGAAATGAAAGCATTGGTGTCATTTTATCAGTTGATTGTTTTCATTATATCCTAATGCATTGCTGCTAATCTGTTAATCCTCATGGTTAAAAGGGGGTTAATTTCTGACATGTAGGTCCTATGGGAATAACTGTTTGACTCTTTGAATTAGCTAGAAATCAAATTAAGTGCTAATCTGAACTTAGGGCTTTGGGATTCAGATCTGTAGTTTTTGAGTAGTGTTTGTCAAAGATACTTTTTAATACTGAATACATTCTCAGAAATC